ACCCCGGATTGGAGATTTCATCCCTCCCAGATCTCTTTGAAATCTCCAGGCTCCAGATCCTAAAACAGACTTAATGAATAAATGAGGAAACCGAAAAGCCAGTTTCCTCTGCAATACATCAACTCTCTGGAGCCCCTCAACCTGCCTGGTCAAGAATCCAGGGTTTTCAGCTTGATTTTGACCGTGGCAGGACACCGCACTGCCACAATATATATATATATATATATATATATATATATATATATATATTTTTTTTTTTTTTTTTTTTTTTAATATACTTTGAAATATACTGAATACGGCCAAAATGGTATTATTTCAAATATATGTTAATATATTTGGGAAGAAATTTAAAAAAATATATTTCAAATATATTTTTCTTCCATGTGGGCCACCCCACTCTCCACCCCTCCCCCCACACATTTGTTTTTTCTTTCTTCATGTGTGCGACATATGATCTAATCCTATTCATGGTAACGTTTGGTTACTTAGGTGGTTTTCACTACTTGGGGATTACAATCTGTTCGATCTCCTGGGTTTTGAACCTGTTTATTAGTTTATTAAGATAAAAGAATTATATAGAATACAGAAAATTATGAATATTGTCTTAGAATACTCCGCATATGTTTGAGCTGCTCATTGGGAAATACTCTTCACCATCTGGTTGTTTTTGTATCGTGACCCCATATCTCGTTTGCTTTCCCTGAGATTAAATGTTTATTGGAGACGTGATCTATGTTTTGTTATATCATTATTTATTTTATTATTAAAAAAAAAAAAATTAAAATATATTATGTCCATAGAGAAAAAAAATGCATACATAAAGTGCAAATGTAATAGTCTTCATCAAAGATTTAGGAACATCCCTGGGGGACAAGGGAACCTACTACCTCTGCCTATCATAGCCAGGTAGAGATTCCAAAAAAAGGCTCCACCCATAACTGATCATTTAGTCTTCAGTGGACTCCCCCAGTAGCTTCTGATCAGCTCCTATTGTGATGTCATGAGGTGGGCGGAGAGCACGGCTGAGCAGACCATACAGGTGAAGTTCCTGAGAGATAAAAGAAGCCAGCGAGTGAATCAACTCACCACCATTCACTTGTAATGTCAATTTTGTGTGGAGCACCCCTTAAATTCCTTTGGGGAAACATGAGGTGCAGCTGCATCATGACAGTCCGGGGTCTCCGGCCCGCTCAGTATTCTTAGAAATCATCTGTCGTAGTTCTTCAGGGAGGAACCAGATCATGCGCCACCCTTCCTCATCGGACACGTTGCGTCCCCCATGGGACTGGTAGAAGGAGATGGCTGACTGGTTCCAGTCCAGGACGGAGAGTTGGAGACGGGCACAACCCAGAGACAGGCACAGCTGTGTGGAGAGAGGAGAGACAGTGAGGACGGTCACAGCCACCATTATGTTATAACATCAGCGGCCAGAAAATATAAACCCCCCTTCAAGGGATCGTCCTATTACTACAACACCACACTAAGTAGGGGGTCTCATATCCATCCAGTGTGCTGCTCATATCGTATTCTCAGCTCTGGTGTTGGTGGAAAAGCCCCCCCATGCCCTAGGAGCCTGAAGAGTTACAGATTCCACTTCTTATAATGTGGGTGGACCTAACCCATAGAAAAAGCGGGTGTGTGGTTATTTGTGTCCACGACTCCATCCTTTTCAGGTCAGTGGGGCCACTGTCTGGGGTGCAGTACACTTATGTGGCTCATTACGCACTACTTGTTCAGAAAAGATGCTGATTTCAGTGGCCAACACACCAGGTGTTGCACCCTCTGGTAGCTGCAAATCTCAACATGGCTCTGAAAAATGTATTGTGAGAATGAGAAAATCAGAAGAATTTTAGGAGATATTAATGTAGGATTGATATACAATTTCTGTACACGGAAACAACATCAACAACAACCACAACCACCACCAGAAGTGGCTGACTGGCAGGACACAATGCTACCGGTCTTGGTGTCCCATCACCAGGACACTTGTTGTAAACACCAATCCCTCCTCCTCCTAGAATTAGGAGCGGAGACCTGCGTGTGCAGCTAGTTCTACAATACAATGTACACTCACCAGACACTTTATTAGGTTCACCTTGCTAGTGCCAAGAAAATCTCCCCCACACCATGGTACCACCACCAGCCTGAACCATGGGTACAAGGCAGGAGGGATCCACCACATCATGAAACCACCACCACCAACCGGAACCATGGATACAAGGCACGATGGATCCATCACACCATGACACCACCAGCCTGAACCGTGGGTACAAGGCAGGATGAATCCACCACACCTGAACTATGGATACAAGGCAGGATGGATCCACCACACCATGATACCACCACCAGCCTGAACTGTGGATACAAGGCAGGATGGATCCACCACACCATGAAACCACCACCACCAACCGGAACCATGGATACAAGGCAGGATGGATCCATCACACCATGACACCACCAGCCTGAACCGTGGGTACAAGGCAGGATGAATCCACCACACCTGAACTATGGATACAAGGCAGGATGGATCCCCCACACCATGACACCACCAGCCTGAACCATGGGTACAAAGCAAGATGGATCCACCACACCATGACACTACCACCACCACCAGCCTGAACCCTGGATACAAGGCAGGATGGATCCACCATATCATGACAGCACCACCAGCAGCCTGAACCACTGATACAAGGCAGGATGGATCCATCACACCATGACACCACCACCAGCCTGAACCGTGGATACAAGGCAGGCTGGATCAATGCTTTCATGTTGGTTACACCAAATTCTGACCCTACCATCTAAATGTCGCAGCTGAAATTGAGACTCATCAGACCAAGCAGCGTTTTTCCAATCTTCTATAGTCCGTTTTGGAGATCCTGTGTGAATTGTAGCCTCGGTTTCCTGTTCTCAGCTGACAGGAGTGGCACCCGGTGTGGTCTTCTGCTGCTGTAGCACATCTGCTTCAAAGATGGACGTGTTGTGTGTTCAGAGATGGTATTCTGCATACCTTGGGTGTAACGAGGGGTTATTTGAGTAACTGTTGCCTTTCTATCATCTCCAACCAGTCTGCCCATTCTCCTCTGACCTCTGACACCAACAAGGCATTTTCTTCCACACAACTGACTCTCACTGGATATTTTCTCTTTTTCGGACCATTCTCTGTAAACCCTGGAGATGATTGTGTGTGAAAATCCCAGTAGATCAGCAGTTTTTGAAATCCTCAGACCAGCCCGTCTGACACCTACAACCATGCCACATTCAAAGTCACTTAAATCCCCTTTCTTCCCCATTCTTTTTTTTTTTTTTTTTTTTAATTTAAATATTTATTAATTTTTAAAATATTAGGAAAGTTAAGATCCACAGTATAAATTCTTTACATTCGTATAACAGCAAAAACAAAATTATACACTCATTTCCTATATTTTCCTTATTTCTCCCATCCCCCCCCTTAACAAAATCTAAAATTGCCCCCCCCCCCCCCCCCCCTCGCTCTTCTCTTCACCTTCCGCTCTTAGGCAAGAGAAAAAGAGACTTGAAAGGTATTTTTATTACAGAGGGGCTGGAACAAGAGAGACCTTTTTTCATCTATTCCCCTTCGATCTAAACTCTTCCCATTTTCTCCATTTCATGTATTATGTCACCAACCTATCTTCCTGAATATAAAATAATTTCTCCAATCTAACAATATGGTCCACTCAATCTATCCAGTCCTCCTCTTTTGGAGCTTCTACTTGGCGCCAGAACTTGGGGATCAAACCCTTGGCGGCTGCATTTAAAAAGTACCATACACCTGATTCTTTACATTTATTTACTGATTATTATTATTACATGGAGTTTATATAGCGCCAAAGGGTTTGCTCAGCGCTGTACAATGGGGGGGGGGGGGGGGGGGGGGGACAATACATGGCACAGTACAACAACAACAAACAATGTACGAGGGGTAAGAGGGCCCTACTCTTTCGAGCTTACAATCTAGGAGGGAGGGGGTAATGGTACAGTAGGAAGTGGCTGAGGGGGGGAGTGAGGTGGTGGGAGGAATGAGGGAGGATGGCCGTTAGGTGAGGGTGGGGTAGGCTTCCCTGAAGAGATGGGTTTTGAGGGAGCGCCTGAATGTGAGGAGGGAAGGCGACAGTCTGATGGATTGGGGCAGTGAGTTCCAGAGGATGGGGGAGGACCTGGAGAAGTCTTGCAGAGGAGGAGACCAGGGAGCAGGATAGAAGGAGGTCCTGTGAGGAGCGAAGGGTACGGGTAGGGCGGTACTTGGGGATCAGGTTGGTGAGGTAGTCAGGAGCAGTGTTGTGAACGGCTTTGTAGGTCAGGGTTAGAAGTTTAAATTTGATGCGTTGGGCAATCGGGAGCCAGTGGAGGGAGAGGCAGAGGGGGGTGGCAGAGGTGGAGCGGGTGGTGAGGTGGATGAGTCTAGCCGCTGAGTTCAGGATGGTCTGGAGCGGGGAGAGCCTGCACTGGGGTAGGCCAGTGAGAAGAGAGTTGCAGTAGTCAAGGCGTGAGATGATGAGGGAGTGTACTAGAAGTTTGGTGGTGTCTGGGGTGAGGAAGGTACGTATCTTGGCAATGTTGCGGAGGTGGAGCCTGCATGTGTTTGTAAGTGATTTGACATGCGGTTGGAAGGAGAGGTTCGAGTCAAGAATGAAGCCAAGGACTTTGGCTTGCGGGGCGGGAATGATAGTGGAGTTACTGATAATTCTGTATTACGTAAAAGGCAGATTCCAGGGTCCAAACTAATATCAACTTCTGTAATCTTTCTAATTTGATGAACCACTCTTCTCCAGAATACTTGTATCTTTGGACATTTCCACCATATGTGATAAATCGTGCCAATCTCTCCACACCCCCGCCAACAAAGGTGACTTCTCCCCACTCTTCTTCTGCTCTATACTCGGTGTAATATATCCTCTTGTCAAACATTTGGAATTCATTTCCACCTCATGTGTACTTTCGTGAACCAATCTAAACATTTTTTTTCTGTTTAACCTCATCTATCTCCACCCCCAAGTCTCTTTCCCATTTTTCTATATACATTCATTTTTTTTCACCTATGTCTAACTCAGTGAGAATTTTATATATTTTTGCCGTACCATGCTTTCCATCACCCCGTGATTCCAACAGCCTCTCAAACAAATTCCAATCTTTTCTAGATCTCAAAGGTTTAGGCAATTTCCCCACAAAACATTTTAATTGATTATCGCTCCAACTATCTATCTTAATGAAAATCTTTCCCTCTTCCTTTTCCAAATCCTTAAGTGTTCTCAGTTCTACACCCCTCATTATATCTCTCAACTGGGCTCCCTCATTCCTGATCCATTTTCCTGAGATTTCCTCCCTACCTGTCAGGCACCGCCCGGCAGAATCTCTAGTGATCCACAGAACGGGAGCTCCCAGGACGCGGAGTCTAAGTCCCAGTCTGCCTTTTCACCAGAGCCCCTGATGGTGGGGATGGACTTGGTGTAAGACTGAAACCAAGTCATGACCCCTGAGTGCACCCAACTGTGGTAGAAGGGTCCCGCAGAGGGTACGTACCGGGGGTGAGCCTGCTGTGAAGAGGCTGACAAGTCCAGGTCCCGAGCGGGATAGATGGATGACAGTCAGGAATGAGCGTAGTCAGACTAGCCGGGCCAGTAACAGTGGAGGCAGGTAGGTACTAAACAGTAGACAGAGAGCAGCCGGGTCACGAGCCAAGGTTCAGCAACGGGAGGTCCAATAGTCATATAGCAACAGGCAGGAGAGTAGTCAAGGACCAGTCGGGGGTCATAGCAGGAGAAGGTCAACACAAATCAGGACAAGCAGGATCGGCAACAGGAACACACTTCAGAACACGGGTGCAGGAACTAGACCTTGCGGCAACCTAGTCACCGTCTGGCCAGTTTAAACAGTGAACCCTGCACCGTCATTGGTGCAATTGCCGCCGCCGCCCAGGTCCTAGTGCCTGCACATTAGTGTGCCTAGGCAATCTGCGTATGTGCAGACCTGTGCACCGCTGCGAGACCCGCAGTCCCTGACACTACCTGGCGGGAAAAACCTTGAGTTTCTCAATGGCATCAAGAATGAGTTAAAATCCCACTTTAACTGTTTGTGCATTTTATCCCGCACTCTTAAAACATTTAAAGTATACACACTTGTGCTCTCTTTTAAACCTCTATACTCTGGTGGCACCCATATACTCCTACTTAAATTATTACCACTAAGTGAATTTTCTATTGTGACCCAAATTATGTGTCCAATCAAATATTCTAGCCAAAATTACTGCTTTATAATATCTCTTAAAATCTGGCACTCCCAATCCTCCTTTCTCTTTATTTCTAGTTATCACTTCATAAGATACTCTCGGTTTTTTATTTCCCTGAATATATCTTATCATCATCTTCTTAATCATCTTAAAATATACCTCTGGAAGCTTAATAGGGACCATTTGGAATTTATATAGGATTTTCAGAACAACTACCATTTTTATCAGATTTATGCGTCCCAACCAGGACTGATTTCCTCCTCCTAATCTCTTTAGTTCCCCTCTAATTTCATTTAACATTACTATATCATTTGATTTATAAAGGTTTTTATATGCCGAAGTGAGTTTTACCCCCAAGTATTTTAATTCTCTCTCATTCCATACAAAGGGAAATTTCCCTTGTATCCCCCTTTTTTCTTTATTTGGAAGATTTATGTTTAATATCTCTGTTTTAGCCGGGTTAATTTTTAGGTTTGACATCTCTCCACATTCCTTCAATGCCCTCATTAAGTTAGGTAGCGTTATCCTAGGGTTTCCAACATAAAACAATAAATCATCCGCAAAAGCGGCAACCTTTTGTTCTATATTTCCTACCCATATTCCTTTTATGTCTGAATTTTTCCTTATTGTTGCCAACAGTGATTCCAAGGACAAAACATACAACAATGGGGACAGCGGACAGCCCTGTCTTGTTCCATTTGTCATCTCAAATGACTCCGACATCTCCCCATTTACCATAACCACTGTAGAGGGCCTCCTATACAACTTTCCTATCCATGCTCTCATTCTAGCTCCCACTCCCAGGACCTCCAATGTATCCATCATATATCCCCAGTTAACTCTATCAAATGCCTTCTCTGCATCCACTGAAAGAACCACCACTGGAGTCCTTTCCTTTCTACTTTTCTGAATAAGCAGCAATGATCTCAACCCATTGTCTCTGCCCTCTCTCCCTTGAACAAAACCCACCTGATCTTCATGTATCCATTTGGGCATTAAATCTTTCAGTCTATTTGCTAAGATCTTTGCATATATCTTCGTGTCTGTATTCAATAATGATATTGGTCTATAGCTTGAACACTGGGTGGGATCTTTTCCTTCTTTATGAATGAGGACCACCTGATCCTGCAGGGATTCTCGTCTCAAATCCATCTCTCCCCCCAAGGCGTAGAAATAGGACTTCAGTTTAGGTATTAACAATTCACTGTATTTTTTATAATATCTAACAGTATACCCATCTGGCCCTGAGCTTTTACCTGTCATAGAGCTTTTTAATGCTATCTTTATTTCTTCATTCGTAATTTCAGATTCTAGAGAGTTCAGAAGATCTTCATTTAATTTCGGTAGGCCTGCATTTTTTAAATAAATTCTTCTTTTTTCCGCCTTTGCTATGCCATCCTTATATGTTAAATCTTGGGGGCAATGTTATAAAGTTTACTGTAATAATCCCTAAACACCTTCACAATATCTCTAGTTGAGTGAACCAGTTCTCCCTTGGGGTTCTTTATTTTATCTATATAATTCCTATTTTTCTTTTTCCTCAAAGCTCTCATTAGAAACTTTCCTGTTCTATCCCCCCATCTATATCTTTCACATAACACTTTGTTAAAGACTCTCTTCCTCCATCATAATCTCTAATTCTTCTTTCTTTTTCTTTACTTTCTGCAGTATCTCCTTTGTTATATTCTTTTTATGCAACTGTTCAAGCTCAGCTAATTCCTTTAGGAGCCCACTGATTTTCTCTCTCCTCTTTTCTTTGTTGCCCCAATTGCGATAAGGATTCCCCTTATATATACCTTATGGGCCTCCCACACTGTAGCTACTGACACATCTCCCGTTTCATTTTCCTCAAAATATCTCCTAATCTGCTCTCCAATCTTCGGTCTCTTGATCCATTAGAAGTGCCTCATTCAACCCTCCAAACCGACCCTCCTGGAGGCCTCCTTCCCCATCCTACTTTCATTACAACCGGGGCATGGTCTGAGAGTGAAATTACCTCTATTGTTACTTTAACCAAAGACTCTATTAATCGGTGATCTATCAGTACATAGTCCAACCTAGAATACATCTCATGTACCTTTGAGAAGAAGGAATAGTCTCTGTCTTTCATGTGCATGATTCTCCAACTATCCACCAACTGATACTCCCTTATCACTTTCCTCAGTACTCTTAGGGACTTACTCCCCTCTCTTTGTGTAGAAGAAGTCGTATCCATTTGTCAGTCCATACATAAATTAAAATCCCCACCTACTATCAAATACCCCTTTCTAAAATCCATTAATCTTTTTAAAGCTCTTTTCAGGAATGGCTCCGGCTTCTTATTTGGGCAATAGATATTAGCAACTGTACATTCAATACCTTGTATTTTACCTCTCAGAAATGAAAACCTCCCCTCCGGGTCTGTCTCCCTATCTTCCAACTCAAACCTTATATTCTTTGCAAATCCTATAGCTACATCGTTTGCTTTCTTAACTGGGGAATCTGCATAATACCATAATGGATAATATCTAGTATTTAACTTTACATTTGACTTGTTTCCTGCAGGAAAGCCAGTGAGGCAGATCTATGTTGTAGTTCCTTATATAATTTAAACCTTTTCCCTGGGCAACTCAACCCGTTTACATTATAAGTTATAAACCGTAAATCTTCCATTTTCTTTATTTCTCTTCCCTTCTCTCTACCCTCTCCTCTCCCCCTCTCTCTCCGCCCCCATTACTCCTTTCTTCATCCAAGCTATCCACCCTAAAAACCTCCCCCCTACCCTCCCTCACCCCTCCTCCCTCCAATCTACCCTCCCTCCCTCTCCCTCCCACCAATCCCTTCTTTTAGGCTTACATTTTGCCTATACATCTTTTGAAGGACCAAACCCACCATAGATTTACCACCTTGGGGTTGAACTCCAACCATGGACAGTTCCCCCACCCCAAATGTATCTTAGTCAATTCGATATATTCCCAATAATTCTTAAGGCCCAGAGAGAGGGAGAGAAGAAAGAGGGAGAGAAAAAAAAAAAAAAAAAACACCCATCACCCTACCCCCCTCCCTCTATTCCCTATCTCCCTCTTCTAACAAACTGCCAATCTTTTTTCCCTCTAACTCCTAAACCCCCTTCTTCTTCAACCTCCCAACCAGGGACCTCTATCATTTGTAAATCAAATCTATCACAAAAGTCTCTTCAGTCCTCGGGGAATCTCAAATAAGCTGTAACTCCATTCTTCCATCCAATTAAACACTCCAGAATACCCCATCTATAGGGCACATTCTGCTTTACCATCTGCACTAACAGGGGTTTCAAAGATCTTCTCCTCCATAATGACTCTGATGTTAAGTCCGCAAAAATCAGTATATTCATTGCACCATATTTAATAATTGATCTTCCCTTAATCTTTCTCCATATCTCTTCTCTGTCTCCCCACTTCTGGAATTGGACAATTATATCTCTTGGTTTCTCTTTTCCACTTCCTTGTTGAATTTTTCCTATCCTGAACACACCTTCCAGATTAACCAATTCTGTTTCCGATCTGTCCACTATGGAGTTCAAAATTTTACAAACAAGGCCTCATGTTTCTTCTCTCTTTACGGATTCTGGAACTCCTCTTACCCTGAGATTGTTTCTCCTATCCCTATTTTCTTGAACTTCCATTTTATAAAGCAATTTTTTTAGGTCTTTCCTAATTTCTATTGTCCTTTTCTCTAGGTCAGAGATATATTGGGCATGGTTTTTAACTCTTTCCTCCGCCTCCTCCACCCTTGACAACATCTGCCCCAGATCACTCCTTATAATTTCCATTTCTTGCTTTATTGTTTTTTCTAGATTCTTAAACATATCTGTCATCTCTTTCTTATTCGGTACTTGTAGTTCCTTTTCAGGTTCTTTCATCTCCAAATTTTCTGTAACTTGTTGACTACTACATTTTCTTTCCCAGGGAGAGTCTAGGGCTACCTTCCATACTACTTTCCAGTTCACTTTTTTCACCAACACCTTGAGACCTTTCTGGAGTCACATTTCCTTGAGACGTATATTTTTTTATCGTCCCAGTTTGAGACCCCTTTGGCCCACTGCTTTTAACATTTTTATTCTTCATCTCTTCTATGCGTATTATTTCTCCTCAACACACGCACCACAGAAGTAATAACCAATAGGCGCCAGGAACCCAAATTTTTCCAAACTTATTATTGTCCACTTTTTCACTTAGTTCTCTTCTAGGCTGCTTTAATTCCTCCTTATCTTGTTCAGTCCCCCCAGGGAATCCCCCTTCCATATATCCTCTTTACCCTTTAAGCATCAAACAGTCACTATTATACAAAGTAGGCCAGCCTAAGCTGCTCACACTCACCCTCTACTTGCTTTTCTTCTGGCGAGACAGCTACAGGCTACCAGCAGATTCTTCTGTTGTCCCCTTCTGTTGCTCTCTTCAAGGGGGGATTCCTCTGGGTCTCTACTGCCATCTTAATTCTCTCCCCTGTGGGTAGCTCATTTCCATACTAGGGGAGGCAGGCTGCCCATGGGAGAGTTTATCCAGATCCAAAACTGTGTTCTGGGGGGGTGAACCGGCGTCTTCTCTCTCACCTCGGAACACCAGCTGGATTTCCCCTACCCAGAGCTTCTCTGCGGCTGACCATGTGATCATGACACGCCTCCTCGTCTCCCCGGCAACCTTGCACGACAACCCGAACTTCCTCCAACGAGCCTCCAGCAAGTCCCTATGCCGCGGTCCACCCACTCCTCGCCGCTCACGGGGCCACCATCTTAACTCCGGGACCCACCATGCTCAGATAGGTCCCCCAGCTCCTGCACCACCAGTTCTCCGGGTATCCGAGGCGGTGGAGAACCCACAGAGAGCACCCACACCGTGCTCTCCTACACCGTCATAGATAGGCTCCGCCCCCTGTC